ATATCACTGTTGGAATTCGGGTTTGGATTCAGAGAGCTCCTGGCTGTGTTTGTGCTGTCTTTCCCTGTAACAACTTTATCACAGAAATAGGTGAGAAAAATAATGTAATGTGTTAGCAAGCTTTTCTGATTGACTTTACTTATGCTTGCAGTATGATCATACTATATATGATCAAATCTTTGCATTTTATTAATAATCATGAGCCAAGCCCATCAGCAGTATCTCGTCTGTAGCTGTCTTTGGAATTTAGAGTGCTTTTTTTTTTCTTCTTTCTTCCACACTTAGCTTCAGAAGTGCTTTAGGATAATCCAGGAGGAGGGTTGTTTCCACCAGCCCAAAGTATTTGTTGCTCTGAAGTGAGGGTGGAAATAGTGTATAGATGCACTGAATCTCAATGCTGATTTTGCTGTATCTATTCTTTTCTTTTTGAGAACAGAATTGTATCTTATTTATTAAAATACTCTGATGATTCCAAAGTGCTCACTCAGTTTCTGTTGTGTTTGGCAGGCCTTCCTTTAAGGCTGCTGTTTTCAGCCTGCCCCAAAATGCTCAATTTGAGGAAGAAAACAGCACACTTGGGAGCTGTTCTGTCTGGCATGAAGTGTTGAGGATACAGGATACTTGATGTCTCCAGGACAAAAGAATTAGATACTTAAACCACACAACTGGAGATGCTCTGTTTAAAAAAGAAATAAAAGAAGTTGTATATGACTGAAGGTCCTGAACCCCACATTAAGATCCCAATAACATCCCTTTTTATTCCACAGTTTGGATTTACATTTTGAATTTTGTCATGTTACAAGTTGTATCCTTGAGAGCGCAGGTATTTGAAGGTGTACTCAGTGTCCTTTAGTTCGTTTCCTTAGTGAGGGGGATTTATGATCAGAGTGTTTTGGGGGGTGGGATAACTGACAGATGTCAAAAGGATAAAACTAGGCAGAGAAATTTCTCTGTGTGTGCGTATGTGTGTGTATATTTATATACACACACATACACATACACAAAGATGCATATAAACTATTTCCATGAGCTTACCATTTAGGCTTCTGACAGTCATTTATACAACAGTCAAGGTTTCCTAACATCACTGTAACTTTATGCTATTTAGAGGATATCAGTGGGTTCATTTTGCTGCTCTTTTCACCCCTTCTCATCAATTCTGTAACATGATCAGCTGTGAACTAGAATGAACGGGCTTTTTAGCAGCTCATGTGTATATATTGGATGAAGGTTCCTCCTCCTGCACATCCTTTATGCTACACACAACCTGTGGCAGGCATGCCAGTGTTTCTTACTTGAGGAAACTGTAAATTAGGAAAAAAGTGATTAATTATATCCAAATGCTTTTCCAAAAGCAATGTGATAGTGTTTGAGATGTAGTCTTTGAATGCACCTTTGGTAGCAACTGGCACATGTTTTGAAGATCGTTCTTCCTCTGAAAAACCACCTCCTTCTTGCAAAAAGAAAATAAAAAGTAGTGAGGATAAAAAGGAAAGGTGCATCTGGGAGTGAAAAAAAGGGATTGCAATTTAAATGCCAGGTAACAAATCACCTGTTGTGAAACGAAGAGGAGAGAGGGGAAGCACTGTAGTGTCTGTTCCAGCAAGTGAGGCCAGATTTTATTTCCTTAGTGCCAGATATTATGCCATTTGTTGACGTTTTTTCTTGTTTGAGTTAACATTTATCTGCTGCTGACTGGTTACTCATTAACTGATGTGACTGGTGTTGCAGTCGTATGAAGGAAAATTACCCACAGATTCACTGGAGTTGGAATTCTTCATCAAAGTAATTATTTTCAGTCTTCTTCTGTCAATGTGGGACTCTTCCAAACTAAGACTCGGTTCAGGAAGTGGTGCACCAGGAACGTGTTTCCATATTAACCATGTATGCAAGAACAGGTAGTTTGTCTTTCCAATATTTGCTTGGCTATGGGCAGACTGCTGTGTCTATATGCATGTGTGTGTATGTGCCGGGCACTGCTTGGGTAACTGTCTGAAAATGAGGCAAGGCATTCCCATGTTCTGGTATTGCTTCTTAATACGTGAACATGCAGAAGCTAAATGTACTTTGTGTGGAACTAAGCAATATTAGTTCATTCAGAGTAAAGATAAGTATTGCAAGCTGGTTGCAGTGCCTTTCTTTAGATTAGCTGTAGCTTCAGTTGGGGGATCAGAAGTCTTTCTGAAGTTGTATTTTTGTGCAGTTGATACACAGGGTGTGTGACTTTTTAAACCAATGAATGAGACATTTATACTCCATTTTCTGTCTCTGCATTGATACTGGATTGAAGTCCTGAAATCTTGCTTTCCAGCTCTGTACTCTTGAAATGCTGATCTTGTTTGGGTACGTCTGAAACCCTTTTCAGTCAGGAAGGAGCTAGAGTCACTCATATATCCTCGCCTTAGGTCACCTAGACCTCGTGATAGCCTCTTATCTATGAACACGTCAACTATTTTGCTTCTAACCTGTGTCGGGATTAACAGCAGAAGAATTTGCTGCAACTGCTTATGGAACTAAAATTGGGATGCATAGAGATCTTGGCTGTTTTGCTGCTTCTGGGAAGAAATATGCTATTTGTGTATATGGAGCAGGAAAAAAATGTCAGTGCACATTGGGTAGTTCAGTGTGTCTTGCATTGAGTTTTGTAGCTTGAAAACAGTAGCAGTGCATCCAAGTCTTTGGTTGCATAATGCATTTGGAGTGCTCTGCAGTTCAGTGACAGTTAAACATAGTGGTACGTGGCAGTGTGCATAGGGATTGCTGTGTCCATAAGAATGGGCATTATGTGACTTCTTGGTAGCCCTAGAACAGAACCGTCTAACATCAGTGTTGATCTTCGTAAAAAGCAAGCACGAAAGACACACAACCAGAAGAAGATGGAGTCTTGTCTGTGAACTCAGGTGGCTGTGTGTAGCTGTTCTAAGCATTGTGAAGCTCAGAGGAGACAAAATCAAGTGTTGCTACTAACATGAGCTCTTATCTTTTTACAGCCCCGAGACAGTGTGAGTTGCCTGAAAAAAGATTCCACAGATCTGCCAAAAAAGAGCTGTAACTGTCTGCTGAAATTCTTTTCCAGTGGATGTCCAAGTGCTTGATTCCTCGAGGGTTTTAACAGTGGAGGGAAGGGAGAGCGCAGGGATGACATTATGTGCTCCAGTGCTGACAGTTTTATTCCCCAGTGGTTCTTACCGTTAATTATATGAACATGTAATATCAGTTCATCTCTGCCTGCAAATTGCTTTTGGTGTTTCCATGAATTCCCTCTTATTATAGGCAGTGAGAGGAAAGTAATTACTGAAATGTCAGGTTTCATCTGTTTTAACCTTAGGTGTTGCTAATGAGAGCACTAGCATAACCTAATTTTTAGTTAAATACCAGGTAATGGCATGGTCAGGACACCTGGGGACAGTCTTTCCTCCATAGATGCAGTATTTGCTGCTCATGGTGATGGTGCAGGATTCTTCCTGCCACTGACTGCTCTGCCTGGCGGTTTGACGCTTTGGCTTGAAAAGAGGATTGGTGCTTGTAATAGGAAGTTTTACATGCTGTGTCAGGCAGGAGGTCACAGGGGCAGATGTCTTTGCTTTCAACAGTGGGAATGCTATCATAGCAGCTTAGTTAACATCTTCCATGTGTTTGGTATGGTGTTGGCTTGGATAGATTAGTGAATCATAAGTGGCAGTCATGAAAGGAGCTGCAAGTCCATTGAGGAATCGGAGGATGCAGCAGACAACCCTCAAGGGTTCGTATCTGTCCTGTTTTCTTTAGGGATAGTATGGAGATCACGAGGAGGCTGGGAGATGAAAATCAATGTGCTTCCTCTTTTATTTTTTTCCTCTTGTATTTTTTTTCCTCTTTCTATAAGTACTGTGTGATTTAAGAAGTGTTGAGAATCTGATATATATCTGTTTTCACAAGCAATTATGGAGGCCAACACCATCCATTCCATGCTAGTGGTTAAAAAAGCTGTTCCTGAGTGTTTAGACCAGAGTGGTCCTGGTATAGTCAGGTCTATCTCTTTTTCTTTGTGCTGCCTACAGGACTGAAGTTTCTCTTTGCTCTTGCAGCTTGCTCTGTTGCATGGACTACATCATCTTTTTATTATTCTAAGGGTTATAAATGGCACATCAGGCCCCTTCTGCTCAGTAATCAACTCTGCTCAAAGCTCCATCCAGCACTGGCAGGGATGGGGCAACCACAACAGTTTTCATTTGGGTTAACCTCAAGGTGCTTGTTAAAGTGAACATGCACAATGATTGTCACTGAAACTCAGCTGAGTGGTGTCAGTTGATGAACCACAGTCCCCTGACTCTATGTGCAAGGTCTGAGAGTACTTGTCATATGAGACTAGAAAGAAGCTTTTCCCTAGATCATAATTTAATCCAAATCAGTAATTATTTTCCTTCCTTTCTTGGAGTTCTGAATATTCAAATGAGGTTGGTTGTATTGTATTGATTTGGGTTTTTTTTTGCCTTTGGTGTGGTTTACACAGAACATGTTCTCCATAATGTAACTTGCAGCCAAGCCTCTGAAATTGTGAGTCCACGGAATGTGTTGTGCTTACTCTGCTCAGCCCACACCCCATAAAAAAATCCAGAACAAGGGAAAGGTATTGGGAATTGCTGAAGTTCCGGAGTACTAAAAAAGCAGAAGACTTACTTAGTATAAAACTTGTATTAGAAGTATGCTGCAAAGGATGGAGGGGGTGAGAAAGCACTCCCTGTTTCCCTGCAGTATGTGACCTGAGGAAAGGCATTACTCTTCAGCTTGTTTCACTGACAGCAGCATGAGAGGGGGGCACTGAGTTAACATTAAGCTGATGGCAACTTTTCAGTGAGCTCATAGAAAGTAATACAGCTGGGAGCAGCTCTGGACACTCACGTTCTGCACCTGGTCTGGTTAGTGCCCCTTTGATTCCGCCTGAGGGAGCTCAGTCAATGGGATTGGGTCATCTCCAAAGGAATTACCCTTTTTCCTTATTTTATTATTTTTTATTCCAGGTGGTGACACCCTGCTTTTTTCCAAGTAACTACGAACTGGTAAGTATTTTGACATTACTGATACCCATCAGGTTTTATTAGGTTATAGGTTAGGTTATTCCCGTAGCCTCATATAATCTCATGTTATTTCAGTGCTGTGCCATCCCCCTTCCCTGTGAGGGCTTGGCAAATCAAAGGTCTATTCCTGAAGCTTGTTACTGTGTCCTGGCCCATGCAGAAATCTGGTTGTTTAATTGAGGGTTTTGCAAGGCTAAGGATTAACTGGGCAAAATGTTTTCTGCTCTTTAGGATTCTTCTTAAACTGAGCTGGGTGACTTGCCTGTGATGCAGCAAACGTGCTGTTGTCTGTATTAGACTATCTGCACTTGTTTGCGTATTCTAAATGAAAAAAGACATTAATTGTTTCAACATGCTGCTGTCTCCTGTTGATTTGAAAGTACAACTAGTGGACAGCTTGGTTGGGGTATATTATCTTTGTTCGTGGTGGAAGAGACAAGTTATAATCCTAGAATCCCAGACTGGTTTGGGTTGGAAGGGACCTTAAAGCTCATCCAGTTCAACCCCCTGCCATGGGCAGGGACACCTTCTGCTAGACCGGGTTGCTCTAAGCCCTGTCCAACCTGGCCTTCACACTGCCAGGGATGAGGCAGCCACAGCTTCTCTGGGCACCCTGTGCCAGCGCCTCAGCACCCTCACAGGGAAGAATTTTTTTCCTAGTGTCTAATCTCAGTCTCCCCTCTGTCAGTTTAAAGCCATTTCCCCTTTTCCTATCACTGTGTGTCACTAAGTTAACCCACGCTTGCTCAGGATAGGAAAATGGTAAGCCTTTTCTGGCTTGTGTGACTGAATTTGGTTATTTTAGCTCCAAGAGGAGTGTGAATGAGGCCTGGAGGTTGGGGTGTAAGAGTTATTTATTGAACCACTGTTGCCACCTGCTAGTGTCATTACTAGGACACATCAACCAACAGCTGATGCCCAAGCATCAGACAAGAACTCTGGGTATTGTAGGTATGTGATGCAGCCACTGGTAATTAGGAATCCCGCAACCCGCTTCTGGCTTGCTGTGTGAATTGGCCAAGTCACTTTGCAAGTCTTTGTGTCTTGATTTCCCTGATAGAAAAACATAATGGTAATGGTAATTGCCTAATATGAACTACAAAAGTAAGAAGGTGCTATAAAAGTGTTGGTTCATGCTTTTCTTAATTATTATCACTTAAAAGAAAGGCTGGAAACCTTTCTGTTTGAATCGGTGATTAATGGTATTATGAGGAATGTGGATATCAACCCATGGGATGTATCTCCTAATTTTGAGCCAGTAATTTTATGAATTAACCCACGTCAGAGTCTGAGGATCCTGTATGACATTACTGCTAAAAGTATAAATAGAAAAGAAATCCTTCCTTATGTCTGTAGCTTCACAGTGTTAGATGTGTACTAGCAACTGTGGTTGCTATTTCCTTTGTGTTGTTCACAGAACCTGAATATTGATTCTGACGTAGAAAATTTGTTGTTGTGATTTGGGAACAATTTCAAACATCCAGCAACCTGGGGGATTTGTTACCAGTCATCACTGTTAATGATTCTGGCTTAATTTGGTTTATATGAGTTGTGAATATGGGGCATTGCTGCTGATGTGGGCCTGAGTGACGTTGTGACCTCCTGACAATTGGACAGTCTGGATGGCAAAAGTGGCCTAACCTGTTTTAGTTTACTAGCAGGGATGTAGCCAGGTGTATGTTCAGCCCCTGAATAAAACATTTACTAGTTTTAGGCAAAAGGGTGGAATTCTGTTTAAATTTCTTGCAGGAAGAGCTGCAGGTGAAATATTTTCACTGTATGGTGTGTGATAAGTTGTTATTACTGAGAGTGAGATGGAGCAATCTGTTTTGCTTCTGATGTGAAATGTGGCTTCATTTTTAGATTAGGAGTCTGCCTTGTGTTCAAGTAAATTGTTTAGTGAAGATTTTTGTTGCTCTGAAGGAGGATAATCTGTGACCATATTGGCTGTTAGCAGTTTCACAACTACTTTGAGTACAAAATATTGAGAATATGAAGAGTAAGTAGTTGAGATCTTTAGATAACTCTATTGAAATCAACCACATCACAATTTGTTGCTGAACTGTGAAATTACTCCCATTCATTCCAGCCAAGGAGTTTCAACATCTTAGTTCTCACATGGATAAACTACATGTACATGCACTCTAAGTTAGTGCTACATATTTTAGCCAATGTAATGGTTGTCTCTATTGCTCTCGTTGAGGTGTTTTATAGCAGGAACTGTAGTTAAACTCTCTGGCATTTTTGTTGGGAGACTGTTGAAGCCTGGTGAAACTCAGATGCTTGTTTTCATCAGAATGCAGGGTTTACTGATTATTTTCAGCTTGGATGTCTGTTTCCAAAGAGGCCCTTGCTTCCAATTTCTCATGAGCTATGTATCTTGAAGCTTTGTAATGACATCAGGACCCTCATATATCAGCCCAATGCAGCTGTTAAGAGTTTCAGGTGCTAAAATATAAACCAGCTGCTGTGCTGACCGGAGCAAGGGGGATGATGTTATTCCAGCTCTGTTAATTCAAGTCATATGTTTAGCGAAAATGAATTATTGTGGTGTACTTCGCTTCATTTCATGAAGAGGCAGTGGGTTATTTGTGACAGTGGACATTGATGCATCGTAGCGTGACCCAAAGATTTTAAAAAGGGGGAAGAAAGGGTGATGTAAAAGTGCCATGGAGACTTTATTTAATCTAAGAGCTGACTTACAATAGTTCCTCTCTAACAGCCTCTGTAACAGTTCTCTTCAAACTGATAAAAGTCAAAGATGGCAAGTGTTTAAACAGCCTTTTCTGGAATTGTTAAGTCTTATTTTGAAAGATGGTGAATTACCCAGTTGGTCTTATTCCTTAAAATCAACATTTTTTAATGTAACAATAAAATTGCTAACATGTATGGGCATTTTTCTTAACTAAGTCATTTTTTCTAGTGCTGCAAAGAAAAGGAAGAGAAGGCTAAGGCCCTCACCTTAAAGCTCCAAATACTTTTCATTTCATGTATTCCTCTAAAAGGCCAACCGAAGGATATTGTTTTTGAGGTAATTTTTAGATTCCAGGATTTACTCTAGTGCAGTTTCAGGTGCTTCAAGAGGGCAGTAAGTTTGTCTCCTTTACTATTTTTTCCTTTCCTTCCTTCATGATAGTGTATCTTTGAAAAGAATAAAGGAAATAAAAACTTGATTCCTCAGAGGCCCCCTCACACATCCGGCCAAATGTCTTGCAGTAACGAAATGTGGTGTGAAGGCCCAAACCTCCTTGCATAGATGGATTCTTATCTTCAGATTACTCCCTTGGTTGAATGGCCTTTATCATTGCATGACTTGATGACTTGTCTGTCAGTTTTAAGGCCGGTTTAGTAATGATCTTTACCAGAGAATTTTCTGCTCTAACCTTTATAACCTTTTTTCTTTCCACCCCGACCTTCTATTCCCCCCCCCGCCATGTTACCAAGGAATTCTGCAAACCTGGGATGTTGCCATTAAAACACCACATTTCATAACCAGCTGTTCTAATGTTGAAAGATTAAGTGGACACCCAGCTACTCACATTTTGTTGTACCATCACTTCAAACTAAAGTTTGTTTGGCTATTTTGCTGATTCTGAGCTGAAAGTTGAGTTATTTTGATAGAAATTGGGAAGGGTGGGGAGGTGGTTCTGCTTTTGTTGTTTTGTTTAACTCCATTTTCCTGAAGTATGCAAGCTGCTTTTCTGCTTGTGAAGGGAAAAATCAGACTCCCATTCAGGCCCCTCCTAACAAACCAAAAACTGGATTTGGAACAGTGAGTCAGACTTCTTTGGCCCATCTCAAAAGAGGAGGGGAACAGAATGAATTTGACTGTGGGAGAAAAGGGGGATTTTTTTTCTCCCATATGAAGACAGGCTGAAAAAGTTGGGGCTGTTCAGCCTGGAGAAGAGAAGCTGCGTGGAGACCTCAGAACAGCTTCCAGTGTCTGAAGGGGGCTGCAAGGATGCTGGAGAGGGACTCTTCATCAGGGGCTGTACCAATAGGACAAGGGATGATGGGTTCAAACTAAAACAGGAAGTTCAGGTTAGATATGAAGCAGAAGTTCTTCCCTGTGAGGGTGCTGAGGTGCTGGCACAGGGTGCCCAGAGAAGCTGTGGCTGCCCCATCCCTGGCAGTGTTCAAAGCCAGGTTGAATGGGACTTGGGGCAGCCTGGTTTAGTGTGAGGTGTCCCTGCCTATGGCAGGGAGTTGGAACTTTCCAACCCAAACCATTCTGTGATTCTATGATTTTTGTGAGGCTGGTTTCTTGAGGGTTTAAAAAAAAAAAAAGAAAAAAAAAATTACTTATTAGGAGAGTGGGAAAATACCTCAAAAAAATTGCTTCAGAATGAGCCTTGTGGAGTCGTAAAGGCCTCATTCTAATTGCATATCCCATTTTTCCATGAAAGCTATGGTAGTTTACACATACCTTAATGTGTCCACCCCAGTGCCAGCATTTCTCAAATTAAAAGTGAATTTTTGTGACAGTGTGTTGTGATACAAAGAAATACAAACCCAAATCCCCAATTATATATGGGGAAAGACAGGAAGAAACCAGAAAACCTTAAGACTACTCAGTACTCTAATACTGTAATATTGTTTGAAAGAAAATTAGGCCTTTTTATCAAAACCCCTCACATTCCTTTTTGCATGGAGCCTGTTGAGTGCTCCACGGATGCTTTGTCTGAGAAAGATCAGTAGATAGGATAACATGTATTTTTATCCTCACTGCATTCATTTACTTTTTAAACACATCTTCCCAGAAAACCCAAGAAGTGAGGCAGTCAGTTCCCATGGAGCACAGTCCATCTGGTTTTAATGTGAGCCTGCCAGAGACTTCTTGAAGAATCTGAGGCTGAATTACTGTTTGTGCTGTTGGACATGTAGATGAAGGATTGCATTCTCCAGTTTCATTTTAAGTGGGACCTCAGTGCTGGAAGACAGAAGATTGTTAACTTGGGTTAATCAGGTGTGACCTCCAAATTCCCTGGAGGATGGTGACAGTGACTAGGCTGGATTAGGAAGTGACATATGCAACGATTTTGCATCTGCCAGGGATGATTTTGGTTTCCGGCTTAAATCAGCAAAAGCTTTGCTGGAAAATTGCACCAAGTGGGTTTGATTTGTAAATGGATTTCTGTGACTAATGACTAATTTGTTTCCTTTTTCTTCTTTCAAGCAGTACAATGGAAATCTTGTGGCTAACTAGGAAAATACCAGACTCTGTTATTTACAGGGTCTTTTTGGATGTAGGAAGTAGAGAAGACTTTAGCTCACAGGACACACGAGATGCGTACAAAGCATTACACACATACAGCAAGCATGACGTGGTGGAGGTAGAGGGCACACCAAGTCTGCCAGACCTCCCCATTGGTGTGGTCTTTCCTGCCTCCTTCCTTCAGTCTCACCAGAGCAGTTCTGCCAGGGAATGCTGCAGGCTGCAGCTGCCTGTGTCATGAGCGGGCCTGCACATCATGGGAAGGGAAAGGCAACAGGGCTGTGCTATTCTCCAGTTTGTTTGCAAAGGGTGGAAATAGCCAGTGGAGGCTTACATTTGCCTCTTCAGTTCCTGCTTTGTCACCATGCAGAACCATAGTGCCATGTCTCCTTGTGAGGAAATCTGTAAGCTGTGAAGAAACCTTTGTGGAGATGTTTCTCCAATTCTGGTTCATACAGCTTTCCTGAACTGACGAGGAAGCAGAAATACCTTCAAACTTTTTCTTTTTAAAACTACCTCCTTTTTTTTTTTCCTTCCTTTCCTTTTTTTCCAGCTTCATCAACCAGTAATACCTCTACTTTTCTTGATTTGCGATAGGAAAAGTGGTGATGGGTTCACATTTAAACAGGGGAAGTTCAGGTTAGATATAAGGAAGAAGTTCAGGTTAGATATAAGGAAGAAGTTCTTTACTGTGAGGGTGGTGAGGTGCCGGCACAGGGTGCCCAGGGAAGCTGTGGCTGCCCCATCCCTGCCAGTGTTCAAAGCCAGGTTGGATGGACTTGGAGCAGCCTGGTTTAGTGTGAGGGGTTGGAACTGGATGATCTTTAGGTTCTTTCCAACCCAAATAATTCTGTGATTCTATGCAAGATTTTCCAGATTGTGAAATGATTTTGCATCCCGCAGGCCAAAGATGCAGATGGTTTGTTAGCCGTAACGATAACACTGGTTACTACAGCTGCAATGTAGCTTGCTCCGGTTTAGCTTTAATGCTTTCTGAACAAAACCTTCTTGATTTTTGCACAGAACTTGAACTTGTCTTTTGAAGCAGTATTTTTATGCAGCTGAACACGAAGCATTGCTCTGTACACAGTGGGCTTTGCAGACTTGTGGAGTGGGGAACACTGAATTTTGGTGCAGTCTTACCTGACCTACAGCACTGATTTAGTTCTGGTGTCATTTAGTTTTCTCATTTTGAGTGTTTTTCAAGGTTAAATACTTCTGTTATTTTCTATTATTTTTTATTATTTTATTTATAATGATTTTCTGTTTTCTATTATATTACCATTATTATACCAAATGGTAAAATCCTTAATTTAGGATATTTTTCTCTTGTGAAATGCCAGATCTTAACTTCATTGAGGTCTTCAGCAAACATTTTGAGCAGGTATTTTCACCTGGTTTTAACACTCAACTTCCCCATTACATTACCTTGATTTCATACTGATTGTAGTTACAAGTAAAAAACATGTACTAATGTCAGGTTGTACTCCTGATGGTGTGTTGGATTTTTGTAGTAATGGGTTGGCTTATTTCTTTTAAAAGGTTTATTTTAAACCTCCTTAGATACAATTTAGCATATTTTAAAGCCTTGAACAGAGACTTTTCATGTTGCTTAAAGAAAATCCTGGGCAGTTCACTTGATCAGTACCTACACAAGTGTCTGTTTTACATGTAAAAGTATAAAATTAGAGATTGGGCAAAAATACAAAAGGGAATACACGGTTAGCACACACATCTCCATGTATACTGTAATGGGGAGAAAGCTCCCTTAGTGGCTGCATGCTGGCTTACAATACCTGAATACGCAGGCTGATCATACAAAATCATTTTTTCTGTGTCTCTTTGAAACGTAGTTTGGTCATTAATACTGTAGAATGTAGAAAGCATTCAGAAGTACTTGTTTGTTGTATGTGTATTTTAGGAGATTTATTAGAGAATATGCTTGAGCTACCTGGAAAATTAAAGTAATTTTTGTTAACTTGTCTCCTTTTGCAGACTAATAACTCTGAGGCTGTTAAAAATCATGTAACCAGAACTGTAAGTAATTCCGTTTTCTTTCTCTGTCTTTCCTTTCCTTGCCCTGATGTATTCTCCTGTTCGTGGCTGCTTATTTTTAGTCCGTCTTCACAAAGCATTCATTGCTAGCAGTTTCAAAGCACTCACTCTGGTTTCTGTACTGTGTGAAGTTAGCCTTTGATTAGTGGGGGGCTTGCTGCTGGGTTTATCCAGGAACAATGAAATGAACTCTCTGTTCCTTATTTCTAAATCAAGCATGGGAGAAGTGAAATATTAAAATGTTCATAGGCTCATTGTATTCACAGGAGTTGAAAAAAAAACAAGAGGGCTCTTTTTCCAGCAGGAAAGATATTAGTCTTTGTATTGTGGTCAATATACAGTCAGTCTTTCAGCCTTTACTTGTTCAAGTTACTGTGCTAGGTTATTGACAAAACAAATTAAATGCCCTTTCCCAAACCTGTGTCATTATTCCTGTATTACTGCTGCTACAAGCACTAATAAATACATTTGTTGAAGTGCAGTAGGACCCAGTCTTGCAAGTGATGTAGAAATTTCTGCAAATGGAAGTATTGCACATGTTCAGTACTGCTGCTTGGGATGGGCTGCGCATCGGTTGGTGGGTGGTGAGCAATTGTAGTGTGCATCATTTGTCTGTCTTGGATCTTACTCCTCTCTTTTTGTTATCTCTCTTTTCATTATTTCAATTATTATTACTATGATTTTTTTATATAATGTTTTACTTTATTGCAATAAACTGTTTTTATCTCAACCCGTGGGTTTTTCCTTTTTCCACAGTTGTGGTGGGGAGTGAGTGAGCAAGAGGTTGCCTGGTACTTACTTGCCAGCTGGAGTTAAACCATGACAATCAGAGTTGCCAGGTTTCTTTGATTTTTAACTAAATCATGGGAAATGCCTGTAGATAACTATCTGTTAGTAGGCAACTGTGAGGCAGGTATTTGGTTCCCCACTGTAAAGATGAAGTTAGCTTTGAAAAGGGGGCAGGATAGACTTGCAGCATGTATATGATCTTTACCAGCTCATTGTTCAATTCAAGAACAGTGCTGTGTATTGCAGTAAATGAGCATCTATTTCATAGTGTTAGTCTTGTGCATGTTGCATTTGTTTTGTGTATCATCTGTGTTTCAGTGCTGCTAGTGCCATTCAGTGTAGGGTGTGAAGAGTTCTGATCCTTCAGTACCCGCACAGGCAGGAGACCTTCACAGAGATTGCATTTGTATTAGCAGCATAGTTTCTTTACCTGGGGTGCAACTGAGGTCTTCTCTGTGGTTGGATCCATGCTCTTATTCACATTGTTCCAGTAAAATTATTTCTAAATTCATGGAATCCCATGAATTGGGAACTGGTTTGGGCAGGAAGGGACCTTAAAACTCATCCAGTTCCAACCGCATGCCATGGGCAGGGACACCTTCCACTAGGCCAGGTTGCTCCAAGCCCTGTCCAGCCTGGCCTTGAGCACTTCCAGGGATGGAGCAGCCACAGTTTCTCTGGGCAACCTGTGCCAGTGCCTCAGCACCCTCACAGGGAAGATTTTTTTCTAATGCTTAATCTCAGTCCCCCCTCTGTCAATGTAAAGCCATTCCCCCTTGTCCTGTCACTACATGCCTTAAGTCTCCCTAAAACCTTTTCTTCTTCAGGCTGAACAATCCCAGATCTCTCATCCTGTCTTCACAGGAGAGGTGCTCCAGCCCTCAGAGCATCTTTGTGCCCTCCTCTGGACAATCTTGAGCAGGTTCTCCATTTAATTCTGACCCATACGCTCTCAGTCAGCTCCTCATCCATCCCCAGGCAGAGCTCTGCACACTCCAGCTGGTCACTGACATAGAGGTGACACCCCAGCCTGTCCTTAATGAAGAGCCTATCTTCAGGAAGTAGACTATCAAAAAGCTTCTTTAATATCGAGACCAGCTAACATGTCTAGTGACAAGATTATTTCTTCCTTCACTCTTCCTTAACTAGACAAATTAACTAAAAAAGAGTCCCAATAGAGCAAACTTCAGATTTATCTGCATGTGAATAATTCGTTTTGACAGCTGCTTCTAGAGTAACAAATGTGAATCAAAATAATGAGATACACTGTGAGGAAAATAATTGCAGATCATTTTCTATTGTTAGTTGGAAGTTTATAGCTTCTTTGTGTTACATCTGAATACTTCAGAGTGCTTTCTATTTGTACTGGTTGCTTTTTATACAAGCCAAGCCATACGTGTCTGCGATTTTTCTGTACATGTATAGCTCATGCCGAGCCATTTCGAAGGCAGCCTTAATGACAAGCAGTTTTTTTTCAGCTGTGCCTTTTGTCCTCTTCTGTTTTTCACTGGTTGTTATTTGAGTATTAGCAGGTTTCCTGAAAGTTTTGGTGCCTACTTCCCATGGAGTAGCAAAGGGTGACAGGGATGAGCATCAGGAGTTCATTTAGAAAGAGAAGAAAGCACCCACCTGAAACCCAGACGTAGGAGCACCTATTCCTGTTTGGAAAAGAGGTGTAAAGTTGCAAGGCTGGGTGATTCTTAAGAAAGTGCTGTTTCCAATCATGGGGCTAGATGCAGCCCTTGCATCTGTAAAATTGTATAAGAAGTAAAACATCAACTGTGCCCCATTCTCACTTGAATAGGGACTTTACATGCATTCAGTATTCTCTCCTGAAGAGCTCTTAGCATTTGCATCTGGGTCAGGGCAATCCCAGGCACAGCTGGGATTGCCCAACACAGGTTGGCTGTGGGGGTGTTGGTTGATGAGAAACTGAACGTGAGTGTGCACTTGAGCCCAGAAACTAGCCATGTGCTGGGCTGCATCAAAAGCAGCATGAGTAGCAGATTGAGGAAGGTGATCCTGCCCTTCTCCTCTGCTCTCCTGAGACCCCACTTGCAGCACTGTGTGCAGTTCTGGTGTCCTCAACATAAGGACATGGAGCTATTGGAGCAAGTCCAGAGGAGGCCCTGAGGATGCTCAGGGACTGGAGCACCACCCATATGGAGACAGACTGAGAACATTGGGGCTGTTCAGCCTGGAGAAGAGAAGCTTCCAGTGTCTGAAGGGGGCTACAGGGTTGCTGGAGAGGGACTGTAGTGATAGAACAGTAAAGAACGTCTTCCTCCTATCTAACCTGAGCTTCCTCTGTTTCAGTGTGAACCCATCATCCCTTATCCTGTCACTGCAGTCCCTGATGATTCTGGTTTCCTGCCCCACTTAGCTCCTTGTTGCCCTGACAGATTGGTAGATAGAACTCTACAACCAAGTGCCCAACCATCTTGATAAAGATGTCCTACAGTCAGCTCTTTTACGGGAGCCTGGCCTGCCTTGGCTATGTATTATAGGGAAGAACTTTGGGAGCAGCTTTGTCAGCAACTAAGAGTCAGGATAGTTTTTGGCAGGGGGAGAGCAAGCTGGGATTTGTAACTTTTGCTACTTGCAAGGGGCATGTCTGTCTGGACTGTTGCTCTTACACTACACAGGGGAACAGTTCATTATTTTTATGGAACACAGTATACAGAACAAAACTACAATGTTTAGCCAAACAAACAGATGTTTGCAGTAGAAATGTTGATAAATCACTTCTGCAGAATCAACTCCAGAAAAGATATTTTTATTTTCATTAATCTTTTAATATTTACTGCAGGAATAGACACAGAATAGCATAGAGACATTTGTATTCACAAGGCATGAATCTTTTTCTACATTAGGAATCATTCTAAAGCCAGAGGCCAAAAGATTATGCAAATCTTGGTTCTCATCCAAGACATCCAAACATGTGTTTCACTGTAGCTTCTAAAAGCCACTACTGTGTCAGTAGGAATTAGGATGGTGGAGCAGCCCAGTGATCAGTGTAGTCCATTGTCCTGTCTTTTCTGTAGTGCCCTGGAGCAGATAGAACTGTTCCACTATGCCTTAGAATAAGTTAGAGAATTTCTTATAATTCCTGCCCATGGCTTGGGTACTGAAAAACCATCAAAAATGTTAAAATGGATTCATGTTTCCTGCTGAGCAGTGTTTCTATTCATGGTCTTATTTGTGACTCCTTGAACAGCAAACAGTTGTGTGGAAAAAAACCTCATAAGCTAATTAAAAGCTGTGTAAAATGCATGTAATTTTATGGCAGGTTTTCTAATCGCATTTTCTGATAATTATATCCACATTAGAAATAGACACAAATAAAATAGTTATATCCCAAGCAGATCCATGTCATCCTTTCAGAATATATTCTGAAACCGTTAAGTCACAGATTACTCAGTGATTTACATTTCAGATATTTGTAGGTTCTACTTATTGATACTTACACTTGTTAATCTTCCCATTCAAGAAGCAGACCAGGAAAGATATAGATGAGCTGCATGAATGCATGTCAGATCCTGAATGGTGAGTTTTCAGTAGTACTGTTCCTTGGAGGAGCAGATAGCTGATGTACAGCTGCCTCAGCTGTTTAAAAAACCCTCATCCTTGAAACCAGTAGTTCTTAAATTCTGCTGAGATAGCTTTTAAGCAGATATTGGATTATATTATAATTCAATAGCCTTGGGAAAGGCTAGTGAATGATTCTGCATTTGGCTTCCTTAGCCTGCCTTTGATTCTAGTCTCAAAATGAATTGTTATCCCACCTGCTATTTCTAAGCACATGTGTGGCCTACATTTCTAGTTTTACTTTGGGTTTGGAAACTAGCAGTTTTACAGAGTAAGGTTTTGATTGTTTCCCAGAGCTGTCATATAAAAGGTAGGAAAATCAGTGTACTGACAAAACGTGAATGAATTTATCTGGTGCAAAACTCATCTCCCTTCACCCTTTGTCCCTTCATGATCTTTCTGGTTTCTGAAGCTCTACTGCAAAAGACCTCAGCCTATGGAGTAAGCCTACTAGTTGTAACCCAGCTTCCCTTATTCAGTTCTCAGAAAGGTTGAGGACAATTGTCATGCTGAGAGATTTTAATTATTTTTTTACTTGCTGTTCCTCATTTCTTTCCTTGAGAGGCAGCTTTTTAGCATAGATGAGGGGATGCACACTTAGCAGAGGTTATTTCTTATTCCTTCTGTTTCTGGACTAGTGCAGAAGGTGCCTTAATGCCATCTCAGTGCATGTGAGATGGCCTCTACTATACCTGTGTCGTGTTTTTGCTCTGAAGCTGTGGAGGGACTGGAAGAGAGATTGTAAGGGTGTGCGGCGCAGCCTGGGACAGTATGAACTTGCTATTTGAGGCAGACCAGGTAATCCATAAACAAGTTCACTCTCTTTGGTGTCAGAGGTAGGTGAATTAAAGAAGTCCTGGACTCTGGGATGGTCCCGTCTGAGGATGGGTTTTGATGAAGCTGGGGTAGCAGTCTCTGAATGTGGCCAGGGCTAGATGCCCAAGCCAAAGCTGCTAGAAGAAACAGTAAGGAGGACGTCAAAGAATGAGTTGCACAGCTTGGTTATTCCCTGGAAAAGGGCAATGATGCAGTATGTTGGATGCAGTGGATTTGCTCCTTAGTACTGTTTTGTGGCTGGAGGGAAGACAGATGTCTATGGAGAAGCAATTGCTTCCCCCTGCTGGCTTTCATACCACAACTACAGCTAAATTTGTCTGACCAAAAAGACTCTTGTTTACATTTGTTTACAGAGGGATAACTTTTACGTGTTATTGTTTGAGATTTATCTGTTTGAGTTATAAAAAAATCCTTAAAACTGAACGAATGGGAGAATGGGAGGCGTTTTCTTTCTTCAGAACTCTGCTTCTAAAGTGGCTGGTTATGCTGTAGAGAAGTATGGGGACAGAACTGTGGGAAGAAACTCAAGGAAGAGTTATCTCAGGGTAGCCTGTCCTAATGGCAACAAGTTAAGCACTAGTTACATCTGTCCTAATTACAGCTTCAGGTTTTTAACCCAGTGGAGTTGAACACCCCACTTTGAGCCATTATTTTTCATTCCCCTTCATCTTTTCTACTGCTGTTGGTTGACAGGGAATTAAAATCCCATCCAGTTTTGCAAGATTTTCAGTGTAATTGTCCTTTCTGGGAGATGCCAGCGGGTGGTTTGCCTTTATGGGTGGTTTGCCCTGTGCCATTGAATCCTGTGCTTGGTGAAACCCATATTCTGCTGGCAGGTGTGTATGATGGTACAGAATTAAATCTGAATTCAGTCAGAGTCTGGCTCACAGATTGCCTCTTGTGGGAAATGCTGTAACAGCTTATTCTTGTATTTGACAACACATTGTAGACGTGTGTGCATGTATGGTGGGTGTTTCATCAAACCTTGAAAAACCTTATTTCAGTAGCCATTCTGCCTCTGTAGTGAGCCATTTATCCTTTTGGATTTTTCTAAGTATTTTAGCTCTGAGGGGAAGGGTTGGTGGTGTGGCCACTGACAGCTAACAAATAGTAAAGAGAAATAAAAAGAATGTATCACTGAAATAAAAAGAATGTATCACTATCTACAACATAATTATTTAACAGAATGAATGTATCACTATCTGCAATATAATTAAGCCATGGAAAGACCAGGAAGTGATTGTAAAGCAGAGGACATGCAGAAAAACAGAGTTGTGTCTTGACTGCTTGTCCATTTGCCAAGTCACTGACTGTAGGCAGTGTGTAATGTACAAGGTCATCTTGACCTGATGAGGCGTTAAATAAAATTGAGTGGTTTGGTGTGCCGTAGATAGGCAGTGGAGAGTTTTGTAGTCTGAATCTGTGTCTTTTGAAGACGATAGAAGGCTTATGTTGATTTTGGGGGTTATTCAGAATTTGTATAAAAGCATACCCATAATGACAGACTGAGGAGTATTGCAGCTAGTTGAGCCCATGCAGTGAAACATGGTAGATCTCAGTAGCAGGGCTTTTTGCTGCTAGTGGTTTGTGTTATGTTATTGTTCATATACTTACACACTGCATGCTACTAGGTTATGTGTTGTGCTAGCTTATGTGCTACAACACTGTGCAACAGGGAATGATTTTATCACTTAGTGGCTTCCTCTAATAAGGAAATAAGTGCCTGATTATTCAGGTTACATGGAGGTTTAGTCATGAATGTGATTAATAAATGGTGGAATCCTTAAGTTATGAATACATCTGTGTGACCAAAAGAGACCAAGGGAGTGAAGGGAGAGGCATGTTCCATCAACTGCTTTCTAGCTATAAAAGCAAACCAAAACATGCTAAAAGCTTTGTTTTGAATTTCTATTCTGAGTTACTTACTTGGTTAGGCACCCACAGTGTGTTACCTACAGCCTTTAAAATCCTGAGAAAAGATTGAGTAAAAAGAAGCTGAAAATACCATGAAGGTTCCTCACAGTCTGTTATCTAAGTAAAGACAGGAACTAGCGGAACTGGGGCCAACACCTACGTGGAGGTGCACCTTATGCTTTGAAATTTGCCAGAACAGCCTATTTCTGGAATCTAGATAAGCTTTTCTGTGTGTTTTTCTGTATAGTAAGTATAACTTCAAGGGTAGGAAGATGAGTGAATACTCCTTCTCTTCTGGAGTTATTGATGCATAAATTGAACTTCTGACTTTCTGTATGGAAAGATGTATCTAAATGTAAAGTAAATATTTTTATTTACTATTAGTATAGTAATAGCTGTCTTACTCTAGAAACCTCTCATGGAAGGAAGGGGTACTGCCCCCTCCAGATGTCTCTCTTTCTCTACATAGAGCTTGGGTGACTGTCACACTGAAGCTTAATTCTGAGACAGCTAAATTTAAGTGAGAAAAATTCTATTGCTAAGGTTCATAGGGGAGCACATTTTGACACTTTTTAACGCATAGTTACTGAACAAATGAAGCTACAAAAGATACAAACTAAATTCTCATAAAGCAAAATCATTGCAGCTCGGGCTTCTGTTCAAACTCCCAGGACTCTGATACAGGAATAAATTGAGTTCATTTTTCAGTATTGAAATAACAGTATCACTTGTGAGGAACTTAATTCTGCAGGTTTATAGAGAAATTCAAGCCCCATCTTCTCTGAAGTCCATTGAATGTTTTCTCTAACCTTAAGGCAGTTACCAAGAGCATAAAAGACCAACAGCCCTTCTCTGGCAGTACTGAGTTGGAAAAGGTAGTAGTGAGTCTGTATGAAGAGTTGGACATTAACCTGGCCATACTGACAGTGTTTGCAGCCAAACTATAAGGCAGTGATCCTTTCTTATCCTGTTGCTCCTAAAGTTTTACACAGTATGGACATAACAAATGAGAAAAAAAGGTAGGAACATAGATTGACATCAGTGGTGGCAAGGAAGGTACTAGATTGACTGCTCTGCTTTCTTTGTTCCAGAATTCCAGCAGCGCTTCGAAGAGCTCCTCTTTCAGTTGTGACAAAGGATCACGGCAAGTATTTCTTTCCTATTTTGTGTAGTACCGTCACATAGTGCTGTGGTGGGTTTAGGTTTTGTTACTTGTGGTTATAATTTCTGCGAGTTCAGTCTTCTGCAAGACATGTCCTGCTCTGCACAGACCATTTTTACAATCCCTCTCTGAGAAAACAACTGGGCCTATTTGCTGAGCTTACTTTTAACTTAATGACTGTAATCCTCTGATTATTAAGAAGAACAAGGTAAGGTGCCTGCTTGTGCCCTCAGCCTGTAAAGGAAGTTCAGCAGTATCTGTAGACTAACCTGTGAGAATAACTGCATTACACTGGTGTCTGTTGCATTTTGGAGACTGGTTTTGGATTCATTTTGGTGTTACTCAGAGCAGATTTCAAGATGGTATCTTCAGTGTTTTACAGGTCACTGGTGAAACTACCTATTTTTAAGCATTTGTACAGACATTAGGTACCTGTATGTTTTCTGTGTAACTTCTGAATCTGTTGCACTAGTGTTAGTCAAAGTTGCTTGTATTCATTGTACTCCTTTCTTACATTATTGATTGCAGAGATTTGTTCACTATAGTTTTGATGCAAAGAACTCTGATGTTTGGCTAACTCTTCTTGTGTGCTGAACCCAGTAATTTGAGCTCTGTAGCATTTAGTAAGTTGCAATTGTAATGAAAATGTTGGAAACATCACATCAGATGCTTGACTGTATGAGTCCAAGTGGGAGTGCCTTCCATTAATAAGCTATGTTTGTTCTTGGCTGCTTTGCTGTAAACTGACACATCCAATTTCTTCACAGAAGTGCAGACTTTGATCACATTATGGAGGAGGGCTATGAACTTGACCTCACTTACATCACAGAACGGATCATCTCTGTCTCCTTCCCTGCTAGCTGTTCTGAGGAAACTTACCTCCACAATCTGCAAGATGTAACCCGGATGCTCAAATCCAAACACGGTGATAACTACTTGGTATGTGTAGGATCAGTCATTTGCGACACATCTTATGTCTTGCAGGAAGACCACTTGTAGGTCCACGTGTATCATTATAAACTAGAAGTCAGTAATCTAAAACCTCTTTGGTCCACCTTTTTTTATAGCTGTGCAAGCAAGAGTAAGATTTTCAGTAGGGTGTTAAGATGTTAGGCAAGGACAGATCGAAGGAGGTGATCCTGCCCCTCTGCTCTGCTCTTGTGAGACCCCACTTGCAGCACTGTGTGCAGCTCTGATGTCCTCAACATAAGAAGGACATGGAGCTGTTGGAGCAAGTCCAGAGGAGGCCACAAGGATGAGCAGGGGCTGGAGCACCTCCCATATGAAGGCAGGCTGGGAATATTGGGGATGTTCAGCCTGGAGAAGAGAAGCTATGTGGAGACCTCAGAACAGCTTCCAGTGTCTGAGTGGGGCTACAGGGATGTTGGACTCTTCATCAGGGACTGTAACGACAGGACAAGGGTGATGGGTTCAAACTGAAACAGGGGAAGTTCAGGTTAGATATGAGGCAGAAGTTCTTCCCTGTGAGGGTGCTGAGGTGCTGGCATAGAGTGCCCAGAGAAGCTGTGGCTGCCCCATCCCTGGCAGTGTTCAAAGCCAGGCTGGACAGAACCTTGGGTGACATATCTAGTGTGAGGTATCCCTGTCCATGGCAGGGTTTTGGAACTGGATGATCTTAAGGTCCTTTCCAACCTTAACTCTTCTCGATTCTATGATTAAAAGCACTTTTTTGCTGGTGGCACTGCAGTCTCTGTTGTGGAAGCACATAGTCAAATGCTGTAGAATAATTGCACTGACCGTTTTCATTGTTCAAAGCATGCTTTTAAAAGAACAAACCCTGAAACGTGGAGCAGCCAGCTACATGCGGGTCCTCAGCTTTGTATCTGATAGTCTCTCACCATCATGTCTTGGCTGTCTCTACCATATATAGTGAAACAACATATAAAAGCAGGGATGCTGTTTGCGTGTTCTGTCCAGGTCTTTCTCATTAACTTGATTTAGATGCATTTTTCCCCTCTCCTTGGTTTTCTGTAGGAAGTTGTAAGCAAATCTATAATGAGCTCCATATGCAGAGTATCTTGGATTTTAAATGACCCAAACTGTTCATCTTCTGTCCTGTTTCTCACTAGTGCATCTAAACCCTATGGCATGTATTGTCTCAGCTTGTGCTATGAAGGTGAATTTAAAACAGGACCAGTATTTTTTTTCTTCTGCTGGCTTAGAGTGAACTAAGAAATGTTTAAACTGTGAAAATAGAATAAAGCATGTGTAAGCTGTTACAGTCAAATCCATGCTTCAGGAGCATAAACTTGACTCACAGTGGAAATTAGTTTCTGGAGAGATGCCACCTAATGGTTTAAACACATTATCTTTTGCTCACAAAGTGAGGTGTCATAGGTGCATTATGAGCCAGCTCTTGTCCTGAAGATGCACTTGTAGTGTGGTCTGGTGGCCTCAGCATGCCACCTTCTTGCCATTGCCTTCCTGTCCATCAGGCACTGGTAGCTTGTAAGGTACAAGATAGTAAGTTTGAAGATGATCTGGATGTAAGCCTTTTACTGGTTGAAACTCAGCTCTACTAAGTGGCCTTCTCTGTGCAACAGCAGTGTTTTTGTATCTGTGAAATAAGTTTGTAGCCTCAGTTCAGTTAAATCTTACTAAATAGCTGTTTGTATTACAAAAATCTGATCTATTATAAGTCTTGTTTAGGGTGTCCTCTGTCTAAGCAGGATTGCAGTCTGATTCTCTTGCAGAGTTTGGATGTGTTGGTTTTGGGTTTATTTTAGTTTAGTTCTATTTATTTACTTGTATTCTAATGAGCACTTCGGAAATTGGCTGGCTTGGTCAAAAGGAAGTTTGATGCTGTCTGCTGCAAGTATGTTTCTACAACTTTGCAAGATAACCTTTGCAAACCACAGCGACGTTGTAGATCCAGAGAGCTCATTTTAAACTCTTTTGATTCTCATGTTTCAAAGATGCCTTCAGTCTGCTCCAGATGCACACGTATAACAGAAAAAAACCCAAACCAAACCCTAATACCCAGTCTAAACCTCCCCTGGTGCCACTTGAGGCTGTTCCCTCTCATAGAATCATATCATAGAATGGTTTGTTAGTGATTGCTGTTTTAAAGCTCTTCTTAATGAGTCAAATATACTTGTATACTTCTTCCTTTTTGTTAATTTAGCAGTCTCTCTTTTTAACTGTTCCTTATTAAGCACTAGGTGTATGTTAACTTCCTGCCTAATGGTTTAACAGCAGAGTTGGAAGATCTCACAGGCTGAGCTATAGTTAAATAGCTATGCCATATCTTCCCTGTGAAGTTCTGACAGACCAATATCTTCTTGCCAGGCACTTCAATTCAGACATTTAAGACTGTACCACCCTCCCCCACCATTCTTTGTTGATTCTTTTGCCATGCAGTTATTTTCAGGGTGCCCAGATCTCTCATAGCTCTGACTCAATTAAAGCCATGTGAAATAAATAAAATATAGCAAAAGGCTAATTATCCTTTTTCAACATGTGCATCTAGTTTCATCTTGTAATAACTGAACACCTAAAATACATTTTCTAGCGCTGCTTGACTTCAAATGTTAATTCAGTTTAGTAAAACAGTGGCAAACCTGAAGTCTTATGAGCATAGTTTCTTGTAACCATGATGTGTTTCAAATACAGCTGTTTACTACAGTAGTTCTGAAGTCTTGATGGCTGATGCTTTTTCTCTTTCTTTCTAAACAGGTGTTAAACCTCTCTGAAAAGAGATATGACCTTGCCAAGCTTAACCCAAAGGTATTGCTTGTCTTCTATAACGTCTCTTTCTAGTGTTAAATACAGCTGAAATAGCCTCATAAGCCCTAAAGCTGTGCAAGCATTGGTACACAGATTGAGAGAACAACTTTTGGAAGATGATAAAAACACACCCACTTGCATCTCTCTTTATTTTCTCCCAAGTTCTTGTTTTGTGTCTGTTAGGCCTGTGCGTTATAATACTGTTCCTGTTGTTCCCTTAGGCTTTGCACACAGGACCTGAAGCCTGTTATGGCTACTGAAAAATTTCTATTGAGTGATACAAATTTTACTCCAAGTATACTTTTTGTATACTCCAAGTTTTACTCTTTGTGCAGTTACAGGATACTAGGGTTTATATACTGTAATGTACAGTCTCATAGCTGAAGCTAGTGAGCTCAGTTCAAAGATAGACTTCCCTTTTATATCATCACTTCATAGTTGCTTCTCTGCACCATAGAGACATAAGGAATGTCAGAATTATGTCTGCCTTTTGTTCTTCCTTATCAATTATTGTATTTGTTGTAAAAAGTGATATGCAGTTACTCTTCAGCAGCTATCATAAGGCCAGAGTAGCACAGATGTCTGTTTATAGCAGTAGATTTCCAGGGATATGAAATACCTGAGAAAAATATTAAAAGAACTCTCAATTTTGACCTTTTGAATGCTTTGTTGATCATGAAGAATTTAAGTTGTTCATGGTTACAGCCTTTGTTTGGGTTAAGTATGTATATAATAACAACAGGTTGAGTAAACAGTATTATATAGTGACTAAGGTTGAATGTTAAATATAAACAGAACTTTAAGATGTCAAATCTATTGCACTCGAAGGGAATACATCTCAAATTAAAAACAATCCCAAAACACTGGACCAGGCCAGTTAACATTCTTTTGTTCTAATTTTGACTTTCTGAGTATTCTACTGTTATAAAATACTTGAATTTCTAAATGAAAATTCATCTAAGAAATCAAGATCTTCAGGAATGTCACTTGTGAGTGGTTGGTGGGTTTAGGGAGGAGTTGCTTGTTTATTTTTACACAAGTACTGGTATCTTAAATCACCTTCCTCCCCTGAAGAGACCTGGAAGCATGTTTATTTACATCGTGGCATTTGAATGGGGTTCAGATAAATGTGGAGTCTCTTGACCATCATAATTATTTGAAGCCAGATCTTAATATGTAGTATTAGGATCAAGGTGTCTCTTGTGACTTTTACTTGTTTAATTGCAGATTATGGATGTGGGATGGCCTGATCTCCATGCTCCACCTCTCGACAAGGTGTGCACCATCTGCAAGGCCATGGAGTCATGGCTGAACAATGATCCTCAGCATGTGGTCGTGATCCATTGCAGAGTAAGTGAGCTTTGTGTGTGCACATCACATATCAGTTTGGATTCGTTTTCAAAAACCTTGTCCTTAATTCTTATTTAAAAAAAAAACAAACAAAAAGTTTGATCTGTTTTCAGTGTTGGGAACACAGAATCAATCTTTATTTGATTCAAATGGGCTTTAATCCACTGACCTTGCATGTTATGATAACTGAGGTTCTAGCACTGCCTCTTCTGTGAGTGTATATAGAAGCTTGAAGTTATTTTGAGCTCAGCAGCAACCTCTTCAGAAGCTCTTCATGTTCTGTGACATTCATGGATTTTGCTGTGGGATAAGGATAGGCAACAGATCATCTCTTTAGACTGTTGTGTGGTTATAGGAAGTGGGGGCATCAAGTACCTCCTGGATACTTCTGACAGGTTTTAACTGTCAGCATCATTGCAGTGCCTTATAGCAAAGCTGCCACTGTGCGCTGTTACTTCTTCTCCTTACTTGCTCACAATGAAGAGAAATAAAGAAAGCCTTAATTAAGTACAGAAAAGTAAATTCAGAACTGAGTTGGTAGATATGCTGGTGACACTTGACGAAAATCTGTCTCTGTATGATTGGCAGATGTCACTCTAAACAGAATGAAGGTGATAATGAGGTCTAAACCTCCCTTCAGGTCAGGTTGTTTAGTCCCCACTCCTGAATTGCAGACAGAATGCCGTGATTGTATTAAACTGTTGAATTCTTTCCGGTTGCAGGACTGCAGCCAGGAGAATGGCCCATACATGGGGCAAAAGGGGGCAAAGTATTCCTGGGTATTCTGTATACAGATTGGTAGTGCGTATTGTTGATTAATGCCTTTTGGTAATGACTATCAAGTTTCCGACCATGAAGATAGATACAGCTACTTATATGGGCTGAGAGACTGGAACTGTTTTCAAATCTGTGGGAATTACTGCTTGGTGAATTCTACTGAATTTATGTCATGTACTTTATTTAACAAGATTTGTAATGTTTTTTAAATTATCCATAGAAAAACAGTTGTGTTAAATCTCAGGTGCAGGGAAGGTAAAAATGCCCAAACTTGTTGGAAACTCATATGCTTTCCAAAACAGGTACTTTACAGCATTTTATGCCAGAAATTGCAACGTTGTCTAGACTTGCTGTGAATGATCTCTGGAAAAAAAGTAATATAAAATTAGAAGAGTTGAACTAATGTTTCTACTACTGGTCAAGTTTATTTTTCTTGTATAACTAATTTCCTCTCAGTCAATAACACTTGACAGGTACACACATAGAAATCCTACTTAGTGGTTTCTATGTCACTTGGCAGCAAGCTTGCATAGAAAAACAAGCTGCTGCCCATCACTGCCACCTTTCTGATTACACAGGAGATGCATGAGCAAAAGGGTTCTCTGAATATTCTCTCTTGAAGTTTGGTTAGTATGGGTCTTAAATGAAATAAAGCCCGTTAATGTAAGAAGTTAATTAAGCTATCATTCCCTTCTTCTTCCTACAGGGAGGGAAAGGAAGGATAGGCGTAGTCATATCGTCATATATGCACTTCACCAATGTTTCTGCAAGGTAAGTTGTGAATAATGCATATTGTGTATTTTATACAATTAAGGAAATGCCAGAAAAAGATGGCTCTTAACTTTAGCACTGTTTTTGTGCTTACTGGTTGTCAGTTGAGGGTTGTCAGGTTTTCTTAGAGTCCTGGAGCATGTATTAAAAGAGGCCATTTTTAAGACAGAGCTTTCTTGTGGTCCTGCTTTCAGCAGCAGATTGGACTAGGTAATACCCTAAGGTCTCTTCTAATCTGTGATATTTAGTGATTCTGCAGGAAAATTCTCTAAATGATGAATGAAGAAATGTGCAAGAAACCATTTTTATACAATGGTGTCATGGTTTACCCAGCTGGTAATTCAGTACCACGCGGCTGTTCGCTCTCCCCCCTGCCCCGCTTCCTCCCCCCACTCCCAGAGAGATGGGGAGGAGAATTGGAAGAATGTAACTCCCAGGGGTTGAGATAAGAACAGTCCAGTTACTAAGGTATAACACAAACCACTGCTGCTACTACCAATAATAATAATGATAAGGGAAATAACAAGGGAAGAATACAACCGCTCACCACCCGCCAACTGATACCCAGTCCGACTGAGCAGTGATCTAGCCCTTCCAGGTAACTGCCCCCAGTTTCTATACTGCGCATGACATGCTGTGGTATGGAATACCCCTTTGGTCAGTTTGGGTCAGGTGTCCTGTCTCTGCTTCCTCCCGGCTTTCCCTACTCCCTGGCAGAACATGAGACTCAGAAAGTCCTTGGTCAGACTAAACATTACTGAGCAGCAACTAAAACCATCGGTGTTATCAGTGCTGTTCCCAGGCTGAAAGTCAAAACCACAGTACTGCACCAGCTACTAAGAAGGAGAAAAATGACTGCTGCTGCTGAACCCAGGACAAATGGTATTCAGCAGTCATTCTACTGAGCCCACCTATTAGCCACATCCATGAAGTTGCCTCTTTTGAATCAGTGAGAAGCTATTCCTAAAGTACTTAAGGAAAACTGAAGTTACTAGCATATGGAATCAGTATTTGAGTAGAGAATTCCTAGACATTGATCAAAGTGCAAAATGCAGTTTAAGAAGTAATCTAGCCTTTATCTTGCAGTCAGTTTAAACAACAGGTGTCTGGTTACTTGGTTTTAATTGTTTCTTTTAGAGTGCTCAACTTATGAAATGACAGTTGACAATTTATGTCAACAAAGATAAAATTTGATCAATGGTCTTAAAAGGATGAAATGTTTTTTGTTTGGGGGGTTTATTTGGTTTTTAATAAAACTGTTTTCCTTTGGACTCGTTTATACGTCCATCTATAAATATATTAAAAATGCACTCTAGAGGCCATGGTTAAATCACTTCTTCTGTGTTCACACTCCAGCCTGTCAGTAATATATTTGATCTGATACTGTAGTCAGTGAAGTCCTGAATCACTGCAGGCTGATGGCAAGTTACTCCTGGATTTTAGTAAAACCAGCATCTTGGGAAATAACCTGGGTTCACTCTGGTAACCTGATCCAGAGGTAATTGTAGACTCAGAAATTCAGTGTTTTATACACACCAATATGTGCTGAAAACATAAACACGTACATCTTCAAGTGGTAGTTGGGACTGTGGTTGCCACACATTTATAATATTAGGTTGAGAAGTATTGGGAATAACAAAATCTGTCAAGTGTGGATAATACAGTACTCTCTTGGTATCTCAGTTTTGCAATATTTTATGAGCCTTAATAGTGATACCTGGCTATAAATACTTTTTATATAGAGCAACACCTGGATGTGATTGTAAAGCCCAGCATTGAAACATGTTGGTTTTTACCCCAAACAAATTCAGGATTCCTGCAGTGAGGTTGCAAGGGAGGGGTGAGTTTGGAAGCCCTCCTTTAAGTTTCAGGGTATTTGTCAACTCCTTTCCAAACCCTAACTTTTCTAGTAGGAATGGAGCTGGGAATGTTTCCCAGCTAGGATTTGTGTATCGCTAGCATTATCCAAATGGGACACAGCACCCTCAGAGAAGCAGAAATTACTGCAGTTTGAGGGTGCCAGCTACTGTGTCAGAAACAGTACTCAGAAGACTGCAAATATTCACACCAAATAAAGTCCCTAGTTATCTGCATGATTGTGCCAAAAAGTCTGGGCTTAGGGAAAAAAAACCTTATGATGCAACCCCCTTTTGGTTAGATGTTCTAAATACCTGATTTTCTCATTTAGTAAGGAATAATGTGCTGTCAAATTTAAGGAGGGCAAGCAGAGAGCTCTTTGTGTAATAGCTGGTAAACTGCTTTAACAAGTAAATCACTTGGAGTCTTTGATCAGTTACAAGCGGGTTGCCAAGATTCTGGGTGGTGGTGTAGGTGAAGGTGTATGATGGATTGGGTGAAGAAGAGAGTTTTTGGGTCAAGGATATTCTCAAGCACGCACTATGTAATCTTTATCACCCATGAAGAAAAGGTGTGACTTTACAGCCTGATCCACCACCCTGTCAAGACAATCTGTAACTTCAGATTAAGTTTTGGAAAAGGTATCAATTCCATTTTTAGCCTGATAAGCAAATGTACAATTTGTGCAGTTCTTTTCCTCTGAACTCATTGAAGTTGAATTAGGTATGGAATTTAACATTCCAGATTTCAGAGACTAATCATTTTGAAACTTGTGCTGCTTTTTAATGTCCTCACGTTAATTAATTAACACTGTCACCTGCGTATGTTAGGAGACACATTGGTTTTTATCTGGTGTAGATACAGCACGATCAGCATAGCATGTTTCTTGGCGTATGTGGTTAAGAGCAGCCTTTCTGAGTTTTGGCACTTTTGATTCTTTTTCCATACTCTCTTGCTGCCTTCCACACAGATGCAGAAGCCCCTCATGAGAGCCATTCCAAACAGAGAATGGAAGAAAATGTAGTTTTCTGAATATCTTGCTCCTTAATTGTGCGTTTGAAGAGTTTGTGGGTGTCTGATGCAAAAGATGGATATTTTGATTTAAATATTCTCTCCCTTCGTGGCTTACGGTACACAAAACAAAGACTGAATGAATTATTTGACTGCTTAAATGATCCTCTAGCCTGGCATCCTTTGCACCTCATGTACTACAGTCAGAGCTAGGCAGTAGTTTCCATCCCTATAAAATTGCTGCTTCTTTTTCACAAAGAGAACAGATCTCTTTCACAGAGAGAACTCCCCAGTGCACTCACAGGCAAGTATCCTTCTTTTGCAGCTTGAGCTGCTTGGCTTTGCTGAAGTTTACTGCATTATGACTTTAACATATTCACATTGGAAATACACGATCCAGTTAATAGAATAAGGGAGTAGGTGCTTTGTCTCAGGAAGGAAACTGCCTTAAGGTGTGGAATAAGAGGTGTCAGTGGAAAAATCATTCTTGTCTGACCTGTGCCAGAGCGGTCACTTAGGTGTTTCTTTCTTTTTCCTTACTTTTCTTCCCAAATATTTTGGCATATTTCAAGTTGTAACCTACTGAATTTCTCCAAACTGGAATAACATGGCATTTGTGTCTCTGTTTTGACAGTGCTGATCAGGCTCTAGACAGATTTGCTATGAAGAAGTTCTTTGATGATAAAGTTTCAGCTTTAATGCAGCCATCCCAAAGAAGGTATTTAAATGCTTTCTGTTTTATACTAATAAGAAATGTAATCCCCACATTTTGCCCCTCTCTCCCTTACTCTCTTCCCTTCTGTTTGAAGGCTATTTCCACAAGATCCTCCAGTGATTCCTGAACTCCCATCACTTTGTCTTGTATTAATATTTCTTCCTAGATTGATAACTCCTTCAGTTCCCACACTTAACCCAAGATAGATAAGTCTTTTTATACCACGCTATTATCTACATGTGTTCTTACTGCATTGTTTGCTAACAAAAAGAGATGTCACAGTATATTTCTTGATTGCTCCAGGACTCCTTTTTCTGTGGCACAAATGATGTGTATGGATTCGGTACTGATTTGTGTGCAGTGAAGATTTTATTACCATGTGTTTGGATGACCTGCAGATTATACATCTGCCCCATGTCCATGCTAGTGAATGTTTGTCAAAGCATGTATTATTCATTCTGTCTATCTGGATGTCTTAGCTTTTCAGTGTGTCTGCATGAATAAGGTTAAATTAGGTCTCAAAGTGAGCAGATTGGGAAGTGAATAGTTCTGGCATTCACAACTTACCTCATTTTGGCAAGAGACTGTTGGAGACTGTTTTCTTTTGGTTATTTAAGGAGATAGGAGGAATTTGTTTCACACACACTGCAGTGCTGTTCACTTCCATTTACTTAGTCATGAGCTTATGACCAAACCAAGCATTAAATAGCAGAAATACAATGGTTTTCATGTTGCTGTGGTAGTTTTAATGTGCTTGGTGCTTCTCATTATGAAGATGTTATTTACCTACCTTGGCCTTAATACTAAGAATTCTGACCAGGGCACTTCTTCCTCCTGTTTTACTGAAGTGCAATTCACAGTTAAATGGTGTGATGCTCTCATGTGACAGCTGTGAAAGCCAGCGGAGACCTTCGTTTGCAACTAGAACAGTATACTAAAATGATTGATTTTCCTGTCTCTGCTGGTTCCTTTCTTATTAAAATAAAGATGCCAAGAATAGCAATGTAACAGCCATGGATGTAATAAAGCGGTAAACTGTCTTTTTATGGTATTTCGTGAAGTTATATGTAATGTCATAATGCTGCTCACCACTCATGGCCCAGAAATATTAATGTGTAAAGAATGCATTATGTGGTTGCATTACTGTTTTTATTTAATTCAGATCAATTTTATATTTTTAGATATGTGCAATTCTTAAGCGGCCTTCTGTCTGGATCTGTGAAAATGAATGCAACTCCTCTTTTCCTGCACTATGTTATCCTTCATGGCATCCCAAGCTTCGATGCTGGGGGAGGTACATTATCTAACTTTTCTTTACTAAGTGTCGGCAAAAAGTCTTGTTTCATTTTGGAGCTTTCTAGAAAGCCTGTATAAATCTCCAGGTAAGTTAATGCTCCTTGATACCAGCCCAGATATTCCCACTAAAAGAACTAGGAAAAGAGAAAGATCCAAAGAGTAAAGCTTACAAGAGGTGTGCTTCTAAAATGGCCTTCTATAAGTGGCTTTAAAATGAAAATGCTAAACAAAGACGTTGTGCTAGAGCATAATAAACAAGTAGAACACTGTATTTTATCATCCAAGACTTAAATAGTACCTGTCTTTTGAAATATCATCAGCATGAATTTGCAATGCTCTGTTGTCACTGTTGTGTAATCTGTTAGTCTGCTTCTGTTTCTCAGGTAACTATTTCAATAAATACAGGTTATTGTTTGTTGAAGTAACAAATCTAAGGGACTTAGTATAAACAAAACTGTAGATAAAATACTTTGTTTTAGTGTTGAAAATGCTTCCTGTTTTGTTTTGGAGTTTGTTTTTGTTTCGTTTTTGCCATTCTTTCTTCCCTTCATTTTGTTTTCCTACAGAAGAAGTGGGAAAGTAGGCAGACAGACCTTTAATAAGGAGCAGATTGTTCCCTCTTTCTTTCCTTACCAAAATCCTTTAAAATCCACTCCTCCTCAATTCAGAACTAAACTGAAGATCAGGAAAAAGTGACAAAAAGAAAATGAATCTGTCAAAGCCAATTTTGACAGTCAAAATTGTGCCACTTCTGTGCCACGTTGCTCAATCTGGATGTACATAAAGCTTCCTAGTTGTAATATAGGAAATATTATAACTCTGAAAACAATATTATTCCAACTATAGGAAAAATAGGTAAACAATATTACAACAAAAGAAAAAGTAGGTAAAGGAAAATAGTTACAGACCAGTCTTTTCTGTTGACTTCTTTGCAGCTTGCCGGCCTTTTCTGAAGTTATACCAGGCTATGCAACCAGTTTATACATCTGGAATCTAGTAAGTTGTAAGCATTTTCCTTTGAATCCAGTTTTAATTCTCAAAATTGCACAATTACATGGTCTTTTTTTTCTTCTTTTTCTCTTCTTTTTGTTTCTTTTAAATCATATATTTTGTCTTTTCTCTCCTGTTAAGTAGTGTAGGGCCAGAGAATCAAAGCCGAATCTGCATTGCTGTAGACCCTGCCCAGCTTTTAAAGGGAGATATTATGGTAAGTTAATTATATAGAAAGAACATCTTGTCCTATGCCATTTAGTTTACAGTCTCTGACCTGTTTTGCATTCTTGCAAAAGAAAATAAATAGAGAAAATGGTTGCAGATGCACTACAAAATAGGTTACTAAGTTAATTCAGTCATCATCCTTGAGTTTTATAGGTATCAAAATTCCAATCAGACTCAAACTAGAAGGTTTTTAGGAACCGAAACAACTGCTCTCAGCCTTTCCATTTCACAGCATCACAGTAAAACCTGTAACCCTAATTGCTTTGGGGAGTATTTGTAACTCGGCATTAAAAGCACCCTTGTCCTGTAACTTGGCAGGCAACATGCACAATTGTAATACTATATGCTGTAAAGAAAACACCTAATTCTAAATAGCTTTCTGTTTCTGTGAGCACATGCAGTATTTAGAAAGACATGTATGCACTGTAATACAGTGTGTGTAATTGCCAGTGTGCAAAGCATAACTATGGTTGAATGGCAGCACTATCATTTTAAATCTCTCTGCTTTCTACTCTTGCTTGTCATATACAGTTACGCACAGAGGAAGTAAAGATGGTTAGTTGCCATGCCTTTCAGTTTGTTAAACTAAGAAGGCAGAAGAGTATGTGTAATGAATGATGGGGGGGAAGTATTGTCTGGATTCCTGGTCTGTAGCTAATAGGCTTATTTTTTACGTTTATGTACTACTTTGAGACACGTTGGACCTCAGTGTAAGGGGTCCTTGGTAACAGTCTTATTTTTTTCTTCTTTTCTTTTGAAATAACATTTTTTATTATCCTTCCTCCTCTTCCCTTTCCTACTTCACCTCCCTATTCAGTTGAGTACTTTGTCCTTCCTTTCTTTCCCTGAAAAATGGAGAAAGAAGTTTTAAACATACTCTTGTAAAGTGGCATAACCTGGAGGTGTGGGACACCTTCAAATACAAGAATATTTATTATTCATTGGAGGGCTGTCAGTGCCTAAGGAAATGGAATAGATTACAAAAGAAATCAGTGCGAGACGAATTCACTGAGTCTCCAATGTATGTGTGTTTAAAATGAAAAATGAGCACACAGCTTTTCAGTACTGCTTGCATCCTTTTCAGAGAGGTCAGCTTCATTCATCTCATGCTCTTATTGAAGGTAATTCTGAGCAAGCCATTATTCAGCATAATGGTATTTCCTAAACAAAGACTTCATTTTGAATATTGTTTTTACTATGTCTAAGTGAAACCATCAGTGGTTTCGGGAAAAAAGAATAATCTATAGGATGCTCTGCTTCTAGCTCCAAAAGGTTTAACCACCTGAAGTGTGTGGTTTAAAAAAAAACCTAAATCTGAGTGGCTTTGTTTTCCAGTTGACTCAGAGAATTAGTAGGTAAAATATCCATAAGTCTAGCCTAAGGGAAGGTGATGTTAGAAAGTAGGTGTATTGTGCTCACCTTTGGCTGCTGAAATTCATACTAGATGTTATTTGTACAGGGTTCTGTGGTGTTCTAGCCAAGCTGTCAAAACTACTACCAGCTTCCCACAGGAATGTAAAACAAGGTCCCATCATCACTAGAGTAGGTTTTTAAGAGTCCTGCAGTAAATGTAATCAGGCTTAATTTTAAACCCTGCGTATTCCTCAGTTAATTTTAAATGGGTGTGCTGTCATTCAGTTTTACATTAATTTGGTGCTGTGAAGAAGCAGGGGTACAAGTCAGCATTCCAAGGTTCTACTGACAACTATTGTGATTCTGAATCATTATCTGACTGGTGACTGATAGTGATGAAAATAGTCATTACTAGTTTTACACATCCAGAACTATGTTGCCTTGGGCCTGTCTAATTTTAAAGGATTGAATAACACACACCCTGCTTGTTACAACATCAGAGGTGTCTGCAGTAAATTGCGCTGTGGCTGCTTTACTTAGCAACTGATGCATACACACATTTGTTCAGATTTGTAAGAAATTGCTTCCTGACGTGTTCCTCTCTCTTTCCAGCTGAAGTGTTATCACAAAAAATACCGGTCAGCTACTCGTGATGTGGTATTTCGCCTTCAGTTTCACACTGGAGCTATTCAAGGACATGCGCTGGTGTTTGGCAAAGAGGATCTGGACAATGCCAACAAAGGTATTTGCTGTCCGTGGTTGGCTGGATGAATAGGTGTGTGGGGGTGCATGTGTGTGCCTGTGCATGTGATGATCATCTTTAGGACCTGTTTTCAAAAGGATTCTTGTTTTTTTTTTCTCATCCTTATTTTTAGGGAAAGGGAGACTGCTTTGTGTTAGTTAACTCATAGCATGTAACACAGGTAAACCCCTAATGAGGAGAAAAGCTCTTCAAGTGAGTTAACTTGTCAGAATAATTCCAATACTCCTGCATAGAATCATAGAATCATGGAATAGTTAGGGTTTGAAAGGAGCTTAAGATCATCAGGTTCCAACCCCCCTGCCATGGGCAGGGACACCTCACACTAAACCATACCACCCAAGGCCTCGTCCAACCTGGCCTTGAACACTGCCAGGGATGGAGCATTCACAACCTCCCTGGGCAACCCATTCCAGTGCCTCACCACCCTAACAGGAAAGAATTTCCTCCTTATATCCAATCTAAACTTCCCCTGTTTAAGTTTGAACCCGTTACCCCTTGTCCTGTCACTACAGTCCCTAATGAAGAGTCCCTCCCCAGCATCCCTGTAGGCCCCCTTCAGATACTGGAAGGCTGCTATGAAATCTCCATGCAGCCTTCTCTTCTCCAGGCTGAACAGCCCCAACTTTCTCAGCCTGTCTTCATACATAGTCCTTATCACCTCCTCTCACATTTGTAAAAACAACAGATACTTGTTTGAAGTGGTGACTCTGTTAGTCACGACAGGAAATAAGATGAGCTAAGCCAATCCCTTTTTTGGCTGATGAAAACAATCACAAAGTCTGATACTGTGTTTGTGACCTTTTTTGCTTTGAATATAGAGATCTTTTCATGTGCTTCAGACTGTCCAGAAATGGAGGCAAAGCTTTCAGATGCATCGGAAAATGTTTTGGTTTAGCCTTTATATTTCCCAAATTATTGCTTCACTCTTACGTTTATCTGCAGGGTTGTAACTCCCTCACCCTGCATTACCAGTAAATGAAAATCAAACATATTTTCCTGCAGCATATGGCTACACAAAATTTGTGGTCAACTATTGCAGTTTAGCCAATATAGAGAACAATTTTAGTTTGCTCCTGGCTGTGTTTTCCTTAAAAACCAAAGCCAGCCATGTCTGTCGAGAGAGGGGTTTGGGGACTGAATATCTCTTCCGCTTTTGACTGCGCTTGGGTGCAAATAAAGCTCCAACTGATGCTTAGGTTGTGTTTTCTGGAGAATGTGGGGGGCAAAGAATGTGGCTCTTCTGGAAGCAAGTCCCTGAACTTCAAGTGACAAGGGAATGGTGACAAGGGTAGGTGTGTAAATAGCTACAGAGAATCCTGGTTTCTGATTGCCTTGGAACTGCTCTGCTGGGAGATAGCTTGCTGAAATTCTGTCCTTTGTTTTCAGATGACCGTTTCCCTGATTATGGCAAAGTGGAATTAGTGTTTTCAGGAACTCCAGAGAAACTTCAAGGTGAGGTTACAGAAGAAAAAATGCATTTACTTTGAAAATAAACCATGTTGACATGTGTATTAAAAAAATAATAATCCCTTTTCATGCTTTTATTCCACTTCTCTTGCAGAAAATCTGAAATTCCACTTTACTCTTAAAGTATGTGATAATTGCTGGTTTAAATTTGAAAACTTTAATGAAGACTCTGCATTTACATTGGTATAGGAATGATCAGGTTTTCTTTTAAAGCTATACCAGAACAGTTGCTGACAACTAAGAGAAACAGCGACTGTAGTGATAGGACAAGGGGTGATGGGTTCAAACTGAAACAGGGGAAGTTCAAGTTAGATGTAAGGAAGAAGTTCTTTACTGTGAGGGTGCTGAGGCACTGGCACAGGGTGCCCAGAGAAGTGGTAAATGTGCCATCCCTGGCAGTGTTCAAAGCCAGGTTAAACAGAGCCTTGGGTGATGTGGTCTAGTGGAAGGTGTCCCTGCCCATGACAGGGGGTTGGAAGTGGATGACCTTTAGGTGCTTTCATCCCAAACCATTCTATGATCTGTGTAAAACATGCACAGTATAGGTAGCTCAGCCTGGCATAAGTGGCAAAAGTGACTGCAGTGGCCTATCCAGTAACCTTTTTTGGATGTTGTCATGACTGATTATGTTTGCTGTGGTGAAACTTGGGCTGTCTTCAGTTTAGCATAAAGTGATATAGCTCTAGTTTTGGTGGAAATGCTTCTGCTCTGAAGTTGGCATGTAGGGTGTATCCTGTATGCCTCCAGAAATCTATTGTAGTATGTCTAAGATAATTACAATCTGCAATAAGAATTAAGATCATGCTTTAGATTGCAATCTAATTCTGTTAATGGATGTGTTCTTACTCATTTTATGATGTCGTGAAAAGTATGGATTCTGCCTGAGACTGAATGAAAACCAGGTATTCTTAACTGTCTGTCTCATACATTTTTCCCCTGTCCTGTGAAGTGCATGTTTTCCTCTTCTTCCCCACCTGCCACCAGTTCGGTCACTTAGAAACTTGTAGTAGCAGCCGGTAAGAAGTTGGATTCTGTCCAGCTGAATGTGAAGACCTCAGTCTGTTAGAAAGCCACATAAGAAAAACAGTTTTATGAGTAAATTTGTCCAGCTTGCTGTAAACATGTGTGGGTTGTAAATGCTTGAAGAGAGGGCAGCTGACATGTCTGAAAAAGGCTCAAATTTTTGTCAGGTCTCCCTTCCTTGGATAGCAAGTCAGAGGTGTGGGGTTTTAGCAGGCTCCTAGTTACTGGAAAGCAGGCTCATCTGTGAGACTGGACCAGGTTGCCTAGGGCTTTGCCCAGTCAAATCCTGAAAACCTTCAAGGATGGGGACTTCCCAACCTTAGTGGGCAGACTGTTCTGATGTCTGACTGTCCTCACAGTGGATTTATTTTTCCCTTATATTCACTCTAAGCTTCTGTAGATTCAATTTATGCCTGTTCCTTGTTCTTCTACGTAGCTCCCAACTGGTTCTGTCTCCTCCATGCCTTTGTGAGGTTGCTGTCAGGTCCCTCCCAAAGACCATTTAATCTTCAGACTGAAGAAAACCTGGTCCCTCAGCCTTTCTTCAGTCCTGACCTTTCCAAGTCTTTCAGTCCTAGCCATCCTGGTTGTCCTCCCCTGAGCTTGCTTCCCTTTAGTCATGTCTTTCTTGTATTATATAACTTGAAACTGGACACAGTGTTCTAGAAAAAAATGACTGTGATACGGTTTTTAAGAAAGAATGCATATGCCAACAAGATAAGACACCTAAATATTTAGATAACAAACTTCATAAATCTGCCTTGTAGATACGCGACAAATGTAATCAGAGAAACTCTCTAGAGAGGGCTTTTTTCTGCCTGCATATGAAAGTATAGAACCATAGCATTCTTGTCCTTCTAATTTTAATTATCCTTGTTTTGAAAATCACAGCATGTGCATAACACTCTGCTGCTTCAGAACAACTTACAATAGGACTTGCTTCTCCAGACACAGCCTGAAGGTTGATAACTGAGGATTTCTTTGTCCTCTAATCTAGATAGAGGAGCAAAGGCAGAAAGCAATTTGATTTCTATCAGTGTCAAAGCCAAGTCCAAAGTCATGAGTGCTTCATGCCTGTGCTTTGCTTTTGAATTACTGGACCACACCTAAATTCCTCATGGCATCCTTTCAAAAGCTGAATATTATCTTATGCCTTGTTAAGGGCACAAAAATGTGGGTTACTGCTGCGGATTCCAGGTATGTTTGGCAGAGTCTGTTTCAGCCAGCCAAACACATGGAAAGCAAACTACCTGGTCTCAGGTTCTGCCAAGAGGCTGGAGAATGGGTGAAACAGCATAGTTGGCACCTTGGGGAAACTGGGAGGGACAGAATGGTGTTTTTCAGCTCTCCATCTGTAGTGATAAGTTGCTCTGGTATCAAAATGATGATCTGTATGTAACAGTGTTATTTTATCATTCCTTTAGTACCATTTCTTTATGGATACTTGTGGTTTCCTTCTGGAAAGCTATTTGTTTTGTTGTGCCTGCCTGATAGGTCTGGTGGATCATCTGTGTTGTCTTAGGGTCTGATTCAAGCTATCATAAGCTACATCATAATCAAGAAGCTCAAGATAATATTGTCTGCTTGTACCTTCTGTAATAAAACATAAATTAAGCCTTTCTTAGGTGATTTATACAACCTTTCTTCCCCTGTTGCTGCTTATCTTACATTTCAGACTATAGTATGGCAGTCTGGGGATCAAACTTCAATTGGAAGGCCACATATCCATATGCATGTATGTAACTACAAATATGGCCACGACAATTTTTTGTCTCAAACAGATGTTTCTTTTTTAGGATTTAAACACCTTCAGAATGACCATGGAGTCATAGTTGATTACAATACCTCAGACCCACTGATACGCTGGGATTCCTATGAAAATATGAGCCCTGATGGGGAAGGTGAGTACATCAGTCATATGAGGCCAAGGCAAAACCACTCACAACTGTGCATTTGAAACAGAGGAAGGAGACCTCATTTGCTTGTACCTAGTGCCAGTTCCCTGACATGTTAAGTCACTGTGTACCCTTCCCTATTTAGCTTCAGTAGCTTTAATGGAAAGAAAGCTGCAGTAGTTGCGAGTTTCATGTTATTGCACCAAGTTGGACTCTGAGCCACAGCTAGTTGATACAAGTTATTTTACTAGTTGTAAGTTTGCTTAAATTATATTTTGTGGTTGTTCTAAAGCATCTAATTGGAATCCTTATAGAAAATTTTAAGAACAACAAAACGATGTGGTGAGTTTGTAGCCTTCAGTACTTACTATGTTATCTAGAGTGTTGCAGGAGCTGAGCTAGGCTCTAAAGTTATAGATAAACAAATAGCAAAGGACATGAGTGTTTGCATATTTCCCCTCATAAATGTGCCCATTTCCAAACTGCCCTTCTAATTCCTAGATTTCTCTTCTGTAATCTGCTAATACATGCAGCAGATGAAAGCCTCCAGTAGCTGCCTTCAGATTCTGACTCCAGTGTGGATGCTTTCCGAATGTTTCCTTGAGTGAATGTTGTGCTTTTGATGGACACAGTTTTCCTGTAAGGCCTCAGAATATCACACCTGTGGCTGCACACCTCAGTGCACAGCAAGCCTGACATGCTTGCAAGTAAAAACATGAGAGAAGGTATTGAATGGATGCCAAAGTTCTTGTTTTTACAGCTCTCCTGTTATGAAATAAGAGAAAGGCAGAGTTAGGATCCTTGATTAGCTCTCTCTAGGCTCAGTTTCCATTGATTTTTATAATCTGAGTTTAGCATTTCACCAGCTAATGACTTACATCAGTGAGGGGTTTAGGGGCTGAGACATAATGTGAGCTTGACTTTTTTTACCACTGCATGACTCTTGTACAGCAGTATTTCCATATCTGCAGAATACTAGGGGAAAATAGGGGGTGACAAGAGAACAGTTATTTGTCACTCTTACATGAGGCAGGTAGAGCACTCCATAGGGTGTCCCGAGAGGTTTTATAGTTGGATAAGAAAGGCTGTGAAGTGCCTTTTAGGAGGAGTTAACATAGACTGAATTTTGGCTGAAGAAGTCTTAATTTCTACCCAGGATGTTTCCATATTATTCCCCCCCCCCCCCCCCCCCCCCCTCCTTTTTCCCCTCCTTTGTTAGCCCTCAGCAAGCAATGCATTGATGCAGTGACTTTTTTTAATGGCTCAGATTGATTGAATAGATATATTTGACCTTCCCATCCTTGTGCATTGCACTGCAATACAGGAAATGGAAAGCAGAACTGAATGTATAGGCAGCGGCTGCTGAAAGATACAGAATTGCATGCTACTTAGGCCCTGTAGAAGACTTGATTGCAGACCATTCATAAGTACAGTTAGATTATTTTTCTGATGTTCGTAAGTTTTATATGTGGAACTTTACAGGCTTTTATATGGAATTTGTGTGCATGGTATATTTTTATTCACCTGAGAGACAATATAAATATGATGTGTTAGCATAGGTATTGTGAATGCAGAGAAATCACTACAGTTGAAGCTAGACAATATACCATAAGAACAGGAGGTGTGTCCAGATCCTCTTTTCTCAAGCAAGCATTTAGGAAGCAGGGTGTTACCATATGATGCTCAAAACCAAATTGCAGACAGAGCATTTGTCTCTGGATAGTCTCCACTAAATACCAGAAGGGGCTAAAGAAACATACCCAGGGGACAGCTAGATTTAAAGGATGAGATCTGTACTCAGCATAAAGATAAGATTATTCTGCTGTTTGAGGTAAGCATAGTTTGCTTAGGTCTTCTTTTATGTAGGATTTATAAGCGTCAGGACAGACTTCTCATGCTTTGTACAGTGGTTCAATATTGTGCTTTTGCATTAAAAAGATGTATTGAACCCTAGTTTTTGCCACAGGTGAGAGACCACTAAGAGGAGATGCTGATTTCAGATGGAAAATTAGAAGAGAACAAGAAAGCAATTTCTCTTTTGAAATCCAACACCTATTTGGCCTTGTTACCAAAAGAACAAAAGATGAAAGGACACGATAAAAGAAAAATGTACCCAAACTATCTTAGTTTGTTGGCATGATACAGTATTGCAGACAGATGCAATTGCCTTTTAAATGATCTTGAACCCTTTGATGATAATAAGGTTGTGTTGAACATATGCAGGTTTTGGGGCAGTTTGCTCTCTGGATCTAGTGCTTTATACCTCATTCCTAACAGTATAGGAATCTTGATAATTGGAAAGTAATAAATGATTGGAAGAAATCTCAGAAATATGGTTTCTCTTCAGATCCCTTAGGAGGTATCTCCTGGATATTGCACGAATGGTCCTCCATAATAGACTGAAGATTTTAAGTGTCTAAGTTTGTATCAAATTTCCTTCTCCTCAAGCAGTACATAAGCACTGTTATGCTGATTTAAAAGTATGCATTAAAGGTAGGATTTGGAACCACAGGACTCAGGAGGGCTTCCTACTACCAGGTAGAAGTCTGAGGTAGTTGTCATTGGTTTTCTTGTGGTTTTAAGGTCATAGCACTCATCAAGTGTTGTGTGTGTTTTGTGGGCAAGAGGGAAGAAAAATGACTTTTGATCTTACTGAGTGCTCTTTGTCATCAAGGCATCAATTACTAGCCAATAGATGTGTATGGATTTACAAAAGGTTACTCATTTCCTGCAAAATAGCAAGTTGACCACAAAGATACACCACCTGTGGGCACAAATAAGTAGTATCTTCTGTTATGTCAATACATTTAAATTTATCAAATCTGCTCAATAATCATGTTTTTTGCTTTGTAACTGATATTGGAGCTCACATGCCGTCAACTGTACTGCACTCTTTCCCTTTTGATTGCTCAGGTCATACGTATCTCCTTTATATTTCTACTGATTTGGGTATTGGCACTGTTCATGGTCATATTTTAGGAGTAGTTTGAAGTGCAGTGGTGGACTAAACTAATGTTTGGCTTAGTAGCTATTATGACCAAACCCTAGTAAAAGTAATTACTGCTTGTAATTCTGGCATTTGGGGCGGGAGAGGGGGAGTAGTGATAAATGAGGATGAAGTATTTTCTATGGGAACAGAAAGCTGAAAGAAACAAGTAATCCCTTCCCACTCCCTGAAATGCTTTACCAAATACTTTACCTCATACCAAATGACACATAGGTTTGGGGAAAAAAGCTTTCCCGCCTCCCAAAAGGAGGTAAATGGAAAAGGTTTGACTTGTCTTTTGTGGATCCTTGGTAATTTTCAGGATTATTACTTGGCATATTGAGTGAGAGATACTGTTGTTGACCGCTTCCCTCCTACTGAAAATGCAAGCCTTCTGTTGCATAGGAAACATCAGTTTGTGTGGAACCCACCAAGGGATCCCTGGTGCAATCCTGAGCTCTGAGGTGTTCTGCAAATGAAGTCAGAGGTATTAAAATAAACATTAAACGTATTGCTGCAGAGCAGAAACTTGTTTTGATAGAAAAGGTGAATAACTGGAAGAAAAGATGAATGCTGCTGTTCCTTTTGCACTGTCTATGGCTGCTTTATCTCAGGTTTATTCTGCGTATCCTGATAGGATGCTAAGATTATTCTAGAGAGAGAATGAACCTACCATGAAGGTATTTGCTTTAGTTTGACTGAATTCAGTGGATTGGCAACAGAAATGCACCTGGTTCTTGTTCTGTGTTCCATTTAAAGACATTTCACTTTAACAACCACTAAATCCCTCTGCACTCTTGTCTGCCAGCTCTACAACACGTGGAAAGAAAAGAACATGCGCACATGTTAGAAATTGTTTAAAATGACAAGAGAAGGACTTTCAGCAAGTCTTTACAAGGCAGGAAGTTAAGTATCTTTCTCCACAGAACCTTGCTGTTTGTTTCCTAGCAAAGTGGTTTACTTGCTTAACAGTGATAATTAGAAAAGAAACCACTTTGGAAACAAAAGGATGGTTTTCATTCAAGCCAAATAAGGTAGGGCTGAGGGAATCCAAATTCCTGTATCTCCAGAGTGTTGCTTTACAGATTTTCTAGCCTTTTGTAACTGTAATCACCACCAAGCAGTCCAAAATTGCCAAATATTTATGAACTGGTTTGCTCCTTCTCTTTTTCTTTTCACAAACAAAAAGGATGTGAGCGTCTCCAGGTAGGCAATAACCAACATTCTGGTATGCACCCATGTCATGTGATTAGATGGGATGTTTGACTTTTATTGAATTTTTTTCTCCTCTTCAATCCAAAGTAAATAGCTATTCAGTAGGGAGGTGCCCTCTCATGTAGTTAAACACTTGTTTTCCCAGAGGGCCCCTTCAGTATTGCAAAACTCAAGGTCTGAGGCAAAACTGCTTGGCTGTGGTACCTTAACAGGAATGCAGATGCCTACCAAAGAAAACAGCAGGTTTGATGCCATTTCTGGTGAGTGGAGCTGAAGGATAAATTGGTAGTGAGTAAATGGTAATTCCAGCTTTTAGTCACCAGCTGGATGTCTCTCTTTTGAGACAAAGAGAGATTTGTTAGAAGGTAGGGATGAAAAGGTGTCCTGCGATTTCCCTTCTTACTGTTCGACAGTGAAAATAGAAACATCTCTAGAAAATAGAGAAAGAACACCCTATAAAATGCTGCCACCTTGAAATAGTATCTGAAATGCCTTTAATTGATTTTCTCTGAGAAAATCTGTGCCTTCTATTTCTTGAAGTTTTGTAAGTTCTCTTATATGTATATACACATGTAATTTAAACCCGCTTAGTTGTCTTAATCATGAGGCTCACGTGCACAATGATTTGGAGATAAATTAATATTAAAGAGTTTCTTTTGTATGTCAGTAATATTGAATGCAAACATGGGATTACAAGGTTTCATTTCTACTTGTGCAGCAATAAGTGATTCTCTCCTCCTTTAATAGAACATTGATTGTAACAGTATTCTGTCTTAAATATTGGGATTCAGCTCAATATGTTAGA